GGTATCCCTATCCTCTTCGAAAACAAAATTGAGATCAGCACTGAGGTGTCGTTTGGACTGACTATAGGAACTACTGTGACAGAGAGCGTCACTGATACTGTATCTGTGGAGGTCACTGTGCCACCAAACCAATCCTGTGTCATTAATATGCTCCGGTACAAATACAAAGTCGACATCCCATTAACAGGACGCCTCAGGTGCACTTACAGTAATGGGGACATCCGAATAACATCCATCACTGGAGAAATATTACGGCATTCAGGTGGGAGAAGTCCAGGCTGTGTTGAATCGATGTGAACCTCTGGATGGATCTAAGCCTTGTCCATAAAATCAGCAAACCTCAGTCTGATGTCTGGTGATGTCTAATGTGTTTTTAGCCATCAAACTCCTCTTTTTGTTGAATTTGAATGAAATTATTCTAGCTGTTTACAGTAGAAGAAGGTATTAAACAGAAAATGGATACAAGTATACAATGTTATTTTTAGCACTTAATTATGATTATACGCATTAGATGAAAATGAAAGTGTTGCTAAATATCAACTTAACTGACCTTAAAATGTCAGTTTCAATAAAACTGTGTCTAAACTAGTAAATCTAGTAGTAAAGTAGCCTTTTTTTCATTATTAAAAAAAGGCTGTGGTGAGCAGTTAATGAGGTTTCAGTGCCATCTGCTGGATTGACTGAAAACACCCAATAAGAAAGCCAGGTACAAAAACAGTTTTCACAATTTTTTGTGAAGAATTAAAAACTGATGTAGTGATCACACCACTAAAAAGTTTATTCTTGGTAAGTCAACATGTAATTATTTATTATTAGTGAGCACATGAGCAGAGATAAGGAGAGTGTGGCTCTTCCTTTACTTTATCACATCACACATCTTGGAAGGAAGGTAGGAAGTTTTATTTTTAGTCTGATTTAAGAGGGTCACAGTGTCTCGTGAATGACCAATTTCTTGAAAAAGATATCAAATACTACAGTCCAGCAAAGAAAAAAATTATCATCATAATTATTCTTATAGATTCATAAAAACTAAGCAGGTAGAGCAAAGTTGCCAATTTGTATGTGTTCAAACATCAGTCCAGCTATTTAATTCAATTCAATTCAATTTGTTTTTATACAGCCTCAATTCAAAACAACTGTTGCCTCAATGTGATTTATATTGTAAGGTAAAAACCCTAAAATAATACAAAAGAGAAAACCCTGACAATGATATATTCCCTTTAAGCAAGCACTTTGGTATCACTCCAAAAAGTTGATTCTGTTCATCTGGACGTAGCGTTTTGTGG